TATATATATATATGTAAATGGGGCCTATAGGGTTTCTAAGGGTATGTATGTATATAGATGCACATATAACAGTTTGAGAGGTTCTTCTTCAGTACCTGGTGCTCATCATATACTTTCGGGCCTTTGTGAAAGATAAGTGTGTCCATGTGTACCCCAGGATCTGAATGCCCTTGAAACTTTATATGAATTGTGTATAATAGCAAACCCTTTTCACAGACCTGCGTATAAGCAAATACACATGCTCGAGTATGTGCTTGAGAATTATATAATGCATCTACCTGCACGTGCATACAGAGTCGCTACATCCTTCGGGAAATATCGGTATATGTAATTATATACCTCTGAGGATTAAGATTGCAATCAATGGGTTTATAGGGTTTAGAGTTTAGGGTTTATAGGGATGTGCCTGCCTCCACATGCACATAACCCTAATACGTGTAGTAAACCTATAATCATGCTCCTGCAGGTGCTGGCCTTCACATACGACATCGGGATATCCAGCGTGAGGCCGAACTGCTGTAAGCGGTAGCCCACATTTCTAGCAAGGTTATGCAACTTACGCTTCGATTTTTTGTCATGGAACGTCCACTTATAATCTTTACCCAAGAGCTGGAGTTGCATCTTCTCAGCATAATCTGGGGTCCACCCAGCAGTTTTCGCCACACCGGCAGCCAACTTGGCCATCTCTGTAGCTGACGCAGCCTCGGATCTAGCAGTCTTGGTTTCAATATGAATCGTATGTAGTGGCTTCATGGTTTGGACTTGGCTCACATGTAATATGTGTACTGTGTATTTTCATTTATCCGGACCCCTTTCTACAAGACATCCCCACTCAGCAGGACTGATGCACCCCACCCCGACTCCATGTTTGCTGGGCATGTGTTCATGTAGTTGGATCCAAGTGACGGCATAAACATCTAGAACTGGCCCCAGGGCCTCACCATCGGGATCACATCGCTTCGTCTTCAGATATGCACCTGCGAGGGAGGGGAAGTAGCGACAAACATTTCCATGGACTACATACTTTATACGTTAGAGGCTGCAAATGGGGGAGAGGGTGTAAATATTCTGGTTTACCCAGAAGCAGCCATGAAGGTCTACACAAGATCATGACC